GCGCAGTAAGCGTAGTAGTGTAGTAAGCGTAGTAGAATAGTAGCGTATAGTAGCATAGTAAGCGTAGTAGCATAGTAAGCGTAGTAGCATAGTAAGCGTAGTAGCGTAGTAAGCGTAGTAGCGTAGTAAGCGTAGTAGCATAGTAAGCGTAGTAGCAGCGTAGTAAGCGTAGTAAGCGTAGTAGCGTAGTAAGCGTAGTAAGCGTAGTAACGTAGTAAGCGTAGTAGCATAGTAAGCCTAGTAGCGTAGTAGCGTAGTAGCGTAGTAGCGTAGTAAGCGCAGTAGCGTAGTAAGCGTCGTAGCGTAGTAGCGTAGTAAGCGTATGGTAGCGTAGTAAGCGTAGTAAGCGTAGTAGCTGTGTGAAAATTGTAGGCCGATTTCTATACTGCCAATCGTAAGTAAGGTTTTTGAAAGAGAGGTTTTTAGACAAATTTATAGCTTTGTTTCTGATAATTTCTGACTCTCCAAGTTTCAATCGGGATTTCGACCTAAACACTCCACACTGTCCTCTTTGATACAAATGTGTGACGATCTACTTGAGAATATGGATAATGGCAAAATAAATTGTGTTGTGTTCCTTGATGTACGTAAGGCCTTTGATTGTATAAACCATGAAATACTATTAAAAAAGATGCTTAACTACTTTGGTATATCAGGAATTCCACTAAATAGGTTCAAGTCTTATCTATCTGATAGAAAGCAGCAATGTCTGGTAAACGGTCATTTATCGAGCCCGAGAAAGATAAAATGTGGTGTACCGCAGGGATCTATCTTGGGCCCTTTGTTATTCCTATTATACATAAACGATATGCCTGCATGACTCCTTAAAATATTCAACTCCATCCCTCTACGCAGATGACACAGAAATTTATCTATCCTCTACAGATCGTGATGACATTGTTATTAAAATAAACCTTGATCTTGAAAATATTCGAAAATGGATGCTACAAAATAAGCTCCAAATTCATCCGACAAAATCGAAATATATGTTTATTGGATCAGCGTATAATATTAAACATAAGGTATCTGGTAACCCAATTCCTGTTAATAACGTTCCAATACCCAGGACTGAATATTATACTTGCCTTGGTGTCAACATTGACGAAAAATTGACCTGGGAAAAACATATTGATATGATATGTTCAAAAGTCAGTGCGGGAATCGGTGCTATAAGACGTATTAG